ACATAGGATGAATAACAAAATCACTTTCTGTTTAAAGTACTACTAGTTATTTTTGTTAAACTTCAAGGTAATATTTCTCTGTCAGAAAGTGGAGAAATGTCAATCTCCCATCTCTCTGGCATAGAGGTTACCTGAGCTTTATCCTCTAGCATATCAATCATTGTAAAGGTATATCAGACCTATTATAAAAACAAAAGGGCCAGCTTTCTTTTGCCAATGTTTACCTGTTTTAAATTATCTTGTTCATGATTATTTCCTGCAATTTAAGCTACAACCTAACTGCATGTCTCTAATGTTTTCAATTTTATTTTTCTTCAGACATTGTCAAAGTAGCTGTATTTCCTTGTTAAAGTTATTATTAACAAAACCCCTCATAGCTGTATGTAAATTCTTACCACAACCCAAAGAAGCTTGAAGACAAGCTGCAGGAACAGACATGCATGGACTCAGGAATTCACTGGTGCAACAATAAAAGCTGCCTGGACTTCTGTAGTGGGTATCAAGCCCACTGGGGTAACTATAAACACATTTTACCAGACATCAAAGCCTCAATATGTCATAGCAGTAGCTATAATGGCCTTTATTATAGTAGTGTTAATTCTAATAGTATGCTTACACACAGTGCTTTGTATACAAATACTAAAGATACTTAACATTTCCATGGGTTTCTGTCCACTCATCCCCTGCTCTTGCTCTAGACACATAGGGACAACTCTACACCCCATGTTCAGCAGGAAGTAGCTACAGAAGCCTGATCTTCATCCCTGTTCCCTGGTACAAATAAGAATATCTTTAAAATGGTAAGAGGTGATAATGAAAGGAGCTACCTATAGAAACATAGAATAAATTTAATTTAGCGTAGTCTTTTTGCCTCAGCATAACCATTTTGCTTAGACTTTACCCCCGGTACCTTTGAATCTAGCACAGGCTAGACAAAGATAAGATAAATGTCCAATAGGCAGGTTTCAGGTGGCGCTCGGACATTTTAAATTAACATTTTACTGCAGGCCAAGCAGCAGCCTACCGCACCCCCTTGGCAAATCTCCATCAAGTGCAAGACCAGGACAACCCAACAGCCCAATCTTCCTTCCTTCCTTCCTTCCTTCCTTCCTTCCTTCCTTCCTTCCTTCCTTCCTT